ACTTCCGAGCAAATGCCTCGAAAACCAGAGTCCCGGCTGATCGCCTACCTGAAGCGGGCCTCCAACGTCTCGCCCTTCTTCCACAAGTGGTTCAGCGCCATCCTCTACGCCGTCTGCAGCACCCTCATCATGCTCATCAACAAGATCGTCCTCACCTCCTACGGGTAAGCTCTTTTTAAACCCATAACTTTCCCAAAATCTAATCCCCACATTTTTATCCCCACTAGATTTCCCTCCTTCAAGATCCTCGCCCTGGGACAGATGCTGGCCACGGTAGTCCTCCTCCACCTGGCCCGCGCCACCGGCATCGTCACCTTTCCCCGCTTCAGCTTCACCGTCGTTCGAAATGTAAACAAGCCCATTTTTTTTATCTAAAATCCCCCCTTCTAATCCCCTTTTCTAAAACCCTCTCTTCTAGATCTTCCCCATTCCCCTGCTCTACGCCGGTAACCTCCTCTCCGGCCTGGGCAGCACCAAGCGGCTCAATCTGCCGATGTANTTCTAAAACCCTCTCTTCTAGATCTTCCCCATTCCCCTGCTCTACGCCGGCAACCTCCTCTCCGGCCTGGGCAGCACCAAGCGGCTCAATCTGCCGATGTACACCGTCCTCCGCCGGGTGGCCATTCTCTTCACCATGATCGCCGAGTACTACCTGCTCAGGTAAAAATATGATGATGATCCCCTTTGAGCCCTTCTTTCTAAGTTCTAAAATCCCCTATGATCCCATCCCCAACAGCATCAGCCAGACGGCCACCGTCCAGGCGACGGTGTACATGATGGTGGGCGGGGCGGTGGTGGCGGCCTTCGACGACCTCGCCTTCGACCTGCTGGGCTACCTATACGTCCTCCTCAACGATCTCTTCACCGCTTCCTACAGCGTCTACATCAAGAAGAAGCTTGACGCCAATGTAAGCTTCTAACTTCCCATTTCTATTTCCCAATTCCCACTTCTATTTCTAAATCCCATTTCTAAATTCCACCTCAATAGGATCTCAGCAAGTACGGCCTGCTCTACTACAACGCCCTCTTTATGCTGGTACCGATTCTGGCGATATCGCTGGCGGTGGACGACTGGTACGCCTGCTTCGTCACCTTCGAGCACTGGGCCTCGCCCGGTTTCGTCATCTCCTTCACCCTCTCCTGCGTCATGGGCTTCGTGCTGATGTACGCGACGGTCCTCTGCACGGAGCACAACTCCGCCCTGACCACCGCCATCGTCGGCTGCCTCCGCTCCATACTGGTCACCTACCTGGGCATGTTCATCGGCGGCGACTACATCTTCAGCGCCATCAACTTCGCCGGCGTCAGCATCAGCGTCCTCGGCAGTCTCATCTACACCTACGTCACCTTCATTCAGAAGCACATCGGCGGCGGAAAGAGGGGCAAGGACGACGCCAGGGAGAAGGTGTCTGAGGAGGAGGCGAAAGAGGCGAAAGAGACAGAAAAGACCGCCGAAGATCAGGATCAAGAATCTCAAAGTCAACAACAACAGGTTCCAGAGATCAAGGTCAAGCAATAAAACAACTTACCCATAGTAGTAGTTCGCGACTTTTGTAAGCAGACTTTTTGTACACTGTATTTCCGCCGTATTCTTCCTCTTCTTTCTTCCTCGCCTTTCAATGTCACATAATCAAAATTAAAGTAGATTTGAGGAGCGATCTTGAAGAAGAAGAAGAAGGCCTTGAAGAACAAAGATAAAAAAACTTCAGGGCCGTTTGTTTTTCTACAGAGAGCACATGTTGCTTCCTTGCTCACCGCTAGGCGGCGTTTGCGAGCACTTTTGCAGCCCCTCCACAAAGAACGTGCCGCTGGCGCGCAAACAAAAGAGCAGCGTAAAGCGAATTCTCGCGGTTCTTTTTCTTTCTTTTGCAGCAGCAGCAGCAGCCAGGCGATGCTCATTTGCCCTTTGGCCGCCGTCGTGAGCGCATCGTTGCCTCGCTCTCATCTGCATCATCTCCGACGACGGCTCTACTCGTCATCGTTGCTGCTCCATCGCCCTCATCATCTGCACATCCCTCGTTCACCACCGTGGTCATTCCCACCACTCTTCACCACCATGGACCACCAAGCTCACCACCACCACAATCAGTCACCAGCCTCGCAGCCGAAGACAACCTCGAATCCAGACGACAAAGCTGGTGATGATAAGCAGCAGCAACAAAAAGAAGACTCCAAACCGTCGCTATCGCTGCAGGAGAGCATCGACCTGCTTCGTCTTCAGGCGCAGCTGCCGACGGGGCTCTTCGACAAGTCTGGCCACCTTAAAAAACAGCAGCAGCAGCAGTCTTCAGATAACGACGACCTGGACTTTGACCATCACCATTTTCTGCCCTGCAAGAAGCAAAAAGTGTCGTTGGCTGACAAGAAAACAGATGCTGAGGCTGAAAGTGAAGAAGAGGAGAAGGTTATCAACAACAGCAGCAGCAGCGGTGGAAGCCCCGTCACCATCATCGTCGAGGGCAACATCNCTTCAGAGAACGACGACCGGGACTTTGACCATCACCATTTTCTGCCCTGCAAGAAGCAAAAAGTGTCGTTGGCCGACAAGAAAACAGATGCTGAGGCTGAAAGTGAAGAAGAGGAGAAGGTTATCAACAACAGCAGCAGCAGCGGTGGAAGCCCCGTCACCATCATCGTCGAGGGCAACATCGGCGCCGGCAAGACGACCTTTCTGCAGATTTTCGAGCAATGCTGCGCCCGGGCCAGCATGCCGCCGCCTCTGGTCGTGCCCGAGCCGATCAACCTCTGGCGCGACGTGGGCGGCGTCAACGTCTTTCAGCTGCTGGCGGACGATCCGAAACGCTGGAGCTTCACCTTTCAGTCCTACGTGCAGCTGACGATGCACAAGGTAGGCAAAGGTTCTTGATGTTCTAAACTAATCTAACCGTTTCTATTTCTATTTCCACACTTTTACCAGATCCACGACATGAAACCGGCTCACCCGGAGAGCCTCAAGGTGATGGAGCGCTCGCTGTTCAGCGCCCAGCACTGCTTCGTGGAGAACCTGCGCTCCGGCGGCCTCCTCTCCGCCACCGAGCACTTCATCCTCGAGCAGTGGTTCAAGCAGGCGGCCCCCACCACCAAGGTCGACCTCATTGTCTACCTGAAGAGCGACCCGGCGCTGGTGGCCGGGAGGATTCGCGCCCGGGCCCGACCCGAGGAAGCGGCGCTCAGCCTGGAGGTGCTGACGGCGCTCAACGAGCGCCACGAGGACTGGCTGGTGCGCGGAAAGTGGGGCCCGCTGCCGGCGCCGGTCTTTGTCGTGGACGCGAACACCCCGCTGGAGCAGGTGGTGGCCCACTACCAGGCGCAGACGGAGGAGATCCTCAGCAAGCACCTGCCCTCTTTGGCCTCCGGTCTGAAGCAGGAGGCCTGATGATACCAACGGGTTCTATTTCGAACCCGCATTGCACACCTCTCCCGTACTATTAACTTTAACTCGTAGATTCTTCTCTTCTCATCACATTGATCTCCCCCCTTATCCGTCTTTTACCACCAGCAATTACATTATTTCCGAGAGGATCTCTTTCTTTTCTATCCAGCAACAGCCACGGCGGCAGCATCCTCCCTCAAGATGTCCACCGCCCGTTCGGCGAGCATCATCGTCGCCGCGTTGGGATTGGCATTGGGCATGAGGGGCATCACCGAGGAGTCGATCACACGCAGGCGGCTGACGCCGCGCACCCGCAGCCGCTCGTCGACGACGGCGTCCGCCGAGGAGGCGTTGCCCATGCGGTTGCTGCCCACCGGGTGGTAGGTGGTGAGCGTGTAGGTCTGCAGGGCGCAGGTGAGGTAGCTGGCGCACTGGCTCATCGGCCGGCCGTCGGTGCAGAAGGAGCACCCGGGCAGGGGCAGGGCGGAGTACTGCACGTACGGTGCAAAGTACGGCGATTCGATGATTTTGAAGCCGGTGGAGATGGTCTTAACTGATGCGACCATGTCCTGGGTTACGCTGAAGTAGGCGGGGTCGATGAGCGGATAGCGAAGCGGGTCGGAGGAGGCGAGGCGGACCGTGCCGCGGGACAGCGGTCGGAACATGCTGATGCCCACCCAAATGTGGCGGTCGTCGTTGACGAACTGTGTTAGGTACTGGCGCCACTCCTCCCTTCGAGATTGATCGTAACTGTCGATCACGGCGTCTACGGAGGGGCTGACTGGGAAGAGGGGAGGAGGGGTGGTTGGGTGGAAATAGAAATAGAACAGGTTCTGCAGGTTTCACAAGATTCGCTCCTACCTTGATTGATGAGCATGTAGAGAACTCCATCGGGCCAGTCGGTGTTCCCATTGACGCCCGTGCCGATGTACGTCTCCATAAAGGGCAGCCGCTGCAGCGGGCCACTGGCGTTGGTGAAGAAGGCGTACAGATTGGCTGCATTGAGGTTGTAGTACAGGTGTCTCCCATAACCGATGTCCGAGGCATTCGTCACCAGAAAATCGAACGGAACGAGAAAGTGCTCCGCGAGGTTGTCGCCGACAGGCAGCTCCACGCGGGTGGCAATGCCCAGCGAGGAGAGGTGGTCCTGGTGGCCGATGCCGGAGAGCATGAGGATCTGGGGGCTGTTGATGCTGCCCGCGGAGAGGATCACCTCGCGGCGGGCGGAAACGGTGTAGGTGCGGTTGCCCTCGTCGTCGGGGCGGACGTACTCGACGCCGGTGGCGGTGGGCGGTGTTGTGGTGTTTGAAGTGGGGGTATTACCTGAAGAACCATCACCATCAAAGAGAACCCGAGTGACGTGAGCGTGGAGGAGAACATGCAAGTTGGGGCGGGCAATGTTCACCTCGACGTAGGCGGAGGCAGTTGTCTGCCGCGTCCCATTGGTGGCCGATTGGGTGCACTGGAGGACGGTGACGCCGAACTGCTGCTCGAGGTTGCCGTAGTCAGAAAGGGGCCAGCCGAGCTGCTGCACTGCGTTCAGCCACCGGCCGATGATCGGGTCCAGGTTGGGCGGCGTGCTGATCTCCAGCGGTCCGGTGGTGCTGTGGAAGCGAGGCGCGGCGGCCACCACCGCCGGGTCGGTNGTCAGAAAGGGGCCAGCCGAGCTGCTGCACTGCGTTCAGCCACCGGCCGATGATCGGGTCCAGGTTGGGCGGCGTGCTGATCTCCAGCGGTCCGGTGGTGCTGTGGAAGCGAGGCGCGGCGGCCACCACCGCCGGGTCGGTGTTGTTTTCCGACCGGAGAAAGTAGGGAAGAAGAGTGCGGTAGTTCCAGCCGGTCGCCCCGTACACCGACTCCCAGGCGTCGTAGTCGCGGAAATTGCCCCGAGTGTAGCCGGCGTTGTTGATCGCATGAGAGCCGCCGAAGATCTTCCCGCGAGGACAGGGGACGCGGTGGTCGGCGAGGCCGAATCCTGAAACGAAAAAAATCGGAGATTAGAATCTAGAAACTCAAAGTCCAAAAACCGAAACACGCTTCATCTTTCAGGCTATTTCCACCCAACTACCAAAACAAAAAATAACAGTCAAAAAGTAAATAAAAGATTTTAAATTTTTTCAAGGTTTCTGGACCACTTTATCAACTTACCTGCCCTCGCCTGGGGCACCGTCCGGTAGCCCCAGTCGTAGTTGAGCCAGTAGAAGGTGGGCAGAATGTCGCTGGTGACGGTCAGCGGCCCGCCGGCCTCTATCAGCAGTACGGTGACGTTCGGGTCTTCGGTGAGGCGGCCGGCGAGGATCGAGCCGGCGGTGCCCGCTCCGACGATGATGTAATCATAGGAGGAATCGGTGGTGGTTCGATTCATGCCCCGATTGTGGTAGAGCTGCCGTTGAAGGGTGAGCACGGCCACGGTGAGGAGCTGCGTGGCCAGGCTGGGCGGCGAAGACATCGTTGAAACTTCCCAACAAAAAAAGTGAGCTTCAGCTTCTAAATATACAAAAGCTCAGCCCCGATGATCTACATTGGCTTTTATACTTACGAGTTCAAGTCTTTCTTTTCGGCGCATTTTCAAGTACCAGCATCTTCTTCAGCTGCTGCGTCTGCTTCAAATCATATTCCTCCCGCATTTCGAAGCAGAAAGTATCTATCTCTTGACTTTTCTGCTCTCATTTTGTAAGCTAAACGTGGACTTCTGTGCATTTTCGGTGCAAAAAGCTTTGGGGAGTGTACTGAAAAGTTGCAGTGTTTGAGTGCCATTAAATCAAATATAAAATCCCCTCCTTTTACAAATAGAAAAGAAAATAAACAATAGATATTGAAAAGCCGAAAAAAATGTAAGCATTTATTGAGACTCTCAAACTGAGAGGGGATTTTAATGACTGCCCTTTTTTCCCTCTCCCTCTTTTTGGTTACTCTCCCACAAGTACACGGAAAAGCTGACAAACTGAAGCGCTTCCTCGTACCTGTGTACAGTCAGTCACAGACAACCTTTCCAGCAAAAGTGGTAACCATGGCCACTGATGAGCAGCTGCCTTCACCAAAACTCACCACACCAGCATTTTAAAACTCAAAGTGAACTTTGCTTTTCATTTCATTGCAACAGCAGCAGCAGCAGCTTTCTCTTTCTCTTTCTCTCTACTTCTGCC